AAAAACAAACATTGTTTTTAACAATGAGTTAAAAGCATGAATTTATATTTTGTTTAAAATAAAATAAAAAATAAAAATGTAGCTCCTTTGAATAAGAAGAATCAGTCTAAAACCAATGTTTTCAAGTGAAGATGGAGGTTCTCAGGAAGTTATATTCATAGATGTATTTTAATTACATATATAGTTAATTAAATATTTTAAATGACTATAATATAAAATTGGACATTAATTAAAGTTAGTACTAATAATTAATTTTTGTTTATAAAAGTAAACAAGCAAATCAAGCTGTTTTAACATACAAAGAAGAGGTGATGGCTTTAAAATTGAGAAAGCTTGTTTCTTTTAAATGTCTTTAAAATGTATATTTTCACTTTTTCAAATAAAATGACAAACAGCCCATAGGCAGTRATAATTTGCAAAGGGAAGTGTCTGCATTACATTTAAAATTAATTTCATTTGAACCCCCACATTTACCATAAAACATTACCTCACCCAGTGTTTGTATGGCTTAACAGATTCATTCTACTTGATTTATAGAAATCTTACATCAAGTGTTTACTTATGTCTGTTTAACAACCTGTTAAAATACAGCAGAATGCAGGAAATGGCGTCTACTTTATTCAAAATGTTCTGGGGGAGGACCCACAGACACCCCCCTAACATTATGAATACTTCTGCCACTGAAAAATGTAATAATGTAAGGACTCCATGTGTAAAGATACAGAACATAACTGGACTGTTGTAGAAGTGCAGATAGTTTCTGGTCTCTGTACGTCACAGAATCAATAATATCTGTAAAATAAACTGAACATCTGTTGGCAAATAGTTTTTAAATTTTCATTTTACAACAGCATAACATGTAGGCGCCACTGTAAAGTAGTGCAAGTATGGCTGACTTCATGTACGACACAGAGCTGCTAAAAAACACGAGTTTCACTTTCTGTTCATCCAAGGAGCAGCCATGTTGGAATGATGTCGGGTTTGGTCGTGTTGCACTGAGGTACCGACTCAAAATTCCAACTTTAGGGGCCGTTCCAGTTGATGTGTTGAACACAGAATTGTCGTCTGTGTATTGGGATGTAGGCTAAGCGTTTTCAAAGGGAAAACAAATTTCACACACTGAACTTCAGCACCAAGAGTCTCAGGTTCTGAAACTATTGAATCCGTGTACTGCAAACAGAGCGGATGTGGGGAATGAGTGTTGGGAGGTGCTCGACTTAAAAATAGAAAACTGTTTTTGTGAAGATGCCTAACACGATCAAGCAACAACAAATTTTCCAGGATGTGGATTAAATTTCATGTCCGTGTGCAGAACTCCACGCACCAAAGTAAAGCTTTTCTCGCTCTTATCGTTTTTCTGTGCCCCATTTCTGTCAGATAATTACATATTCTATTGAGAATATACCTTTTGCTTCCAGAGCAGGATGTAGAATCCAGCATTTCTGATGTCAGCCAATCAGGGACCATCCATCCATCAAGTCTAACCCTGGGACTGAGCCTCAGATAAGATTCTTATTTCCCAGAACTGCTTTATCTGTCAATGAGCTATAAAGAACTGGCACAACTGAAGGCACTGTTCCCCAAATGTCATTCAAAGATGAAGCTTTTATTTATAAAACAGTTCCACAAGAATAGAGCATTCACATTCATTGGTATACTAGCATTAAAGGCTTGGTAAAAATGAGCTGAAAAGGAGCAGTTTGCCTTTTTACAGTACCTCAAAAAGCAATTTAAGCTTCAGAAAACAGTTTCTACAAAAATATTTGCTGTGTTTATTGCAAACTCCTGCCTCGTTTAACTGTACAGTGTAATGATTTATGATTATGCATAATTGTTAGAAAAAATGTATAAATCACACAAACGCAGGAATTAAAACCTTTTTACRGTTTAAACATTTCTAATAGAAATTGCAGTCTTCAGTGAAAACAACCAAATCCAGGTGGCTACGTTATAAAATGGAGAAATAAACTAATATTTATTTTAATTTAAAAAAAAACTGAAGCTAAGAATTCAAGCTTTCAACCCAAAATCTTTTCAGCTAAAATAAGGTATACATAATCAACCCTAGAAATAAATAAACAGCAGTAACAGCATTATGCCCTGTTCAGTTCAAAATAAAAACCTAGGCAAACAGTACTTTAGTGCACCAAATACAGCTAAAAGGCTTGTTGTGAGTTTGTCTCCGTCCTGATTGTTAGGGCCAAGAAGTCTCTTTTGACCTTACAGCTCTTAATGATAATCTTTCACYTTTATTTTTACCAAAGGCTGCACAATATATTGAAAATTAAAGATACTTTATTATGAATATGTGCAATTCCAACAACCTAAAGAATTCATTGTAAACATATGGATTYTCGAAATGCCCACAGCAGATTCAGATAGTGGCCAAAATGTGGCYTTTTTCCCCACAAGAGATATTCTTGTATTTAATTTGTTTTCTTAAYATTGTGCAGCCTAAAACCAAATTTGAGCTACCAATAATCTGTTGCGTTTGGTTAATCACAACACCCGGTGAAAAACCTGATTCAGCTCAGCATCCTGTCACCATCGATCTGCTGGACTTCAGCCCCTTTCTCAGCASTTGGGACATTTGTGACTGACAGACAAGGACATTCTCCGCATTTTTTTCCAGACAAGGTCAAAAATCTGAGCCGTTATGGGAATGCGATATTTTTATTTTAGATCAGGCGAAAGCCCAGAGAGCCGGAGCTCGCACATTCACACCAGTGCTTGGCAGATTCGTTGCAGTCATCGATGGGACAGAAATCACCTGGCTGCGCCGCTGTAGGAAGAGAAGCCAGGTGATCTGCCAGGAGATCATTTACACCAAACCCTAGGAAGASGTGGCGTTCCCAGAGTTTGTGGCACAGCTTTCAGCCGTATCAAAGAAGCAGTCTTCGTTCACTACAGAAGTCAGACTTTGGACGCTGAACTCTCTCTCTAGCAGTAGGTTGAGGTCCACCGCTCCACACGGCGATGTTGGATCCAGCTGACTGTCCAGTGACCGGTTCTGCTCCCTCGTGTGCCACAGCGCGCCCTGGCTCCTCCTCAAACTGCTGGGTTTTTTCTGAACGGCGCTGAAACTTCGCTGCGCCAGCTTGTGTTGAAGCTCCGGCGTGTCGCCCGTTCCCTCCGGCTGAACCCGCGGGGCCAAAGAACATTTGGAGACGACGTCGTCGCAGAGCCGAAGCTGGAGGATCTGAGCTTCGATGGCGCTCGTCGGGGAACCGCTGTCCCCGCTGTCCCTCCTCGGGCCCGCCTCGCTAAAACCGTCGTCGTCCTCGTCGCTTAAAATGTCCGACTCCTTCACAGAGGTGGAGCGGGGGTTTGAGCCGGACGCGTTGGGCGGAGACCAGCTGTGCGCGTCGGAGGCGCTCAAGGCCGGAGGAGCCCCAGAGAAGCTGTAGGTTCCGCTGCTCAGGCTGCCTTCATCAGAGTCCAGCCCCAGCTTGGGATTCCCTCCCTGGGAAGAAACTTCCTCAAAAGGCTGCTTACACAACCAGGAAGCCCTGGAAGAACCTGATAAGGAAAGGTAAAGAGAAGTCGTTATCGAACTAAAAACACATGTAGACACATTTTATGACCCTTTCAATGTAAGATAAAACTATAAACACTGAGAATGAGCTCACCTAGCTTGGCAGAGGCGGGCAGAGTCCTGCACAGGGGGGGCAGGTCTTCCTTACAGCTCCTCTCTAATGTTCCCTCATTCTTCATGTTCCTCCTTATGTTCTCCCTGAGGAGGGAGCGGATCACCTTGATGATGTTGATCTTATTCTCTGGCACACTGAAGAGAAAAAAAAACTTGATTTTTCAGACTCTAGACATAGATTAGGAGGATTTTTTGCAAGACTTGTTTTAGTGGGAGTGTACCATGTAATTTCRTGTAATTTGACAGGTATAATGAGAACTCTGAGTTTAGTCACAGGCTTCGCTCCTCACTGTTATAAAAATCGAATTACTAAAAGCTAAAAACACAGCAGACATAACTAAAACRTTTGTTATGTTTGACTTGACAAAGGAAAGACTGTTAAAAGGTGGCATCTCTCTGGGCTGTGACTGATGAGGACTAGTTAATGACTTCTGAAGGTTTTTGATTTTTTTTGGTTGAGTCACAGAGGCGCACAGTCTTGTCACTTAAATCTAAAGCATGTTTAAAAGTTTTCTCTCAAATCTTTTTTAATTTTCAAATGTCTGCATGAAATCTCTCCTTTGACAAAAAACTCAAATAGAGTCAAAAGGACTCAAATGTCCAGGTAAAAAAAACCCACAAAAACTAAAAATTATTGAGCCACTGGTCACATAATACTTAARGAAATTTTCGGTTGTCTCTGAACTCTATTTAGTTGGAATTTTGAATTACTAGTCTCCAACAGTGCCTTTTAGGGTGTATTCACACCTGACATATTTGCTCTGCGTTTCCCCCGTTGGCTCGGACCTTCTTTGCAGGTGTAATACACTCATGATTCCCGGTGCAGATCAAACAACTGGACCGAGACCCATTTTTGAGGTGATCTTGGTCTGCTTCCAAACAAACTCTGGTGCGATTCTTATCTGGTGTGAATACAGACCGGCCTCGAACCAAACCAACTACAGGAAGCATGCGCCTTTTTGGACTTCACGAGCCATTGTTGCAACATTAGCCCTTCGGTGTTGCTAATGCTAACATTGCGCTACAAAAAAATGAGCCGTTGTGGGTCAGAGAACGTGAAGCATCGCATCTCCTTCAGGTTGCRGCATGCTTTTCACAACACCGTCCCAAAATTCTATCATCGTAAAACCACCACTGAATGAGCTGCTCTTGACATTCTTGATGGTCAGGTGTATAAACGCCATCTTTATTTCCTGGTCAGTGCTCGGTCCCGCCCCCGTCATTTCTGTCCAATGGGAGCAATGGGCCTCATGCAAGAACATGTTCGTATTCTTATCCTAAATTTCTCTTACTTTTGTTCGTACGAAGGGTTCGTACGAA